CACCTGGCCCTCTGCTCTCTCTGAGCCCTGCTCTCCCCCTCACCCCCACCCCGCCACTGAGCCCTGCTCTCACCTGGCCCCACCCCTCACACTGGTCTCACCTGGCCCTCTGCTCTCTCTGAGCCCTGCTCTCACCACCCCACCCCTGGCTTAGGGTTAATGATCTGTGAGTCATGGTACTTTCATAAAAAAAGGGTGCTGTCATTTACATGGCATTTATAGCTATAGATTTCCCTTTAAACACAGCTTTAATATCCACAAATTTAGGTATGATATGTTTTCATTTTCATTCAAAAATCAGAAAAAAAAAATATATATATATATATATATTGCTTAGAGACAAGGTCTCACTATGTTGCCCAGGCTGGTCTCAAACTCCTGGGCTCAAGTGATCATCCCAACTCAGCCTCCTATAAGTATTGGGATTACAGGCATGAGCCTCCATGCCCCAGAATACCACTTGGTTTTCTTCTTTGACCCATTGTTTATTTAGAACTGTGCTGCTTATTTTACGTGTATTTGTGGATTTCCAAAATTTTCTTTGTTGTTAATTTCGGGGGTTTTTTGTTTTGTTTTGTAGAGACAGAGTCTCACTTTATCACCCTGGGTAGAGTGCTGTGGAGTCACACAGCTCACACATTCTCTTGCCTCAGCCTCCTGAGTAGCTGGGACTATAGGCGCCCGCCACAACGCCTGACTATTTTTTTCGTTGATGCAGTTTGGCCGGGCCAGGTTGGAACCTGCAACCCTCGGTATATGAGGCTGGTGCCCTACCCATTGAGCCACAGGCACCACCCTAATTTCGTATTTTTTTCCACTGTGGTTAGAGAACAAGACTTTTGTGTGCTATCAGTCCTTTCAAATTTTGTTTCCTATATTCCAAGTCATCAAGCAAAATCCTTTTGAATTTATCAAGACTTGTTTTATGGCCTAGCATGTGGTCTGTCATGGGAAATGTTCCATGTACACCTGAGTAGAATGTGTATTTTGCTGTCTGGGTGACTTATAGTGATTTCGAGTCATCAGTGTCTGCTGATATTCTTTCAAATTATTCTTTCCATTATGAAGAGGATGTAGGATTTTGAAGTATCTGACTATTACAATTGAATTAATATTTTCCCCTTCAATTCTGTGAATATCTGCTTTATGTATTTTGGAGCTAGCCTGTTGGTTTTATATTTATCTATAGTTGTTATATCTTCCTTATATGTTGACTTTATTATTATTATTAGAGATGAGGTCTCCCTCTGTTGCCCAGGCTGGAGTACAATGATAAGATCATAGCTCACTGTAAACTTGAATTCCTGGACTCAAGCACTATTCCTGCTTCAGCTTTCCAAGTAGCGAGGTGTGTGCCACTATGGGTGAC